TTTTTTGGTATTATTCTTATCATAACCAAGCATTTTCTATCAATTTATATTTCGAATGTGAATTGTATAAGATTTATAAAGTATATTCTACAACTAAATCTTTCAGCATTTATCATTTCTAAGTTTTCTAATCTTCTTATTTCTTGAGAGTGAATATATCTTATTCACAAAATAATATATTCTCAACTCATATTTAATTAACAGTAATACTATTATTTTTTTATTAAATTGATTTTATAAACTTTAAATTTTAACAATGTTATTGAAAAATAAATTTTGGAAATTTAAGAGAAAATACCCATGCATTTAAGTGTGACTAATATGAACGCTTTTTTAGATATTTAAATAATTAATCGTCCAAGGAGGTTGTTATAGAGAAGATAAATTTTATTAAGATTATCATTTATGTTAATCAAATACCAATAATTATTTCCTTTTTAATTCTACAATTTAGGTGCAATTTCTTAATTTAATTGTAAAATATAACCATTTAATGAGTATTTAAAGACTTATAGTATATTATTTTTGAATAGATATTGATTAATTTTGTAAAAATCATTTTGAAGGGACAATAGTGATTATACATTGAGTAATAACTGTTTATTATTTGATGTATGTAAAATTTCATGTTGAGCTCAAGTTAATCTATAATTAAGATTCATATATAATACGGTTGGAGAAGATATCATTATTTCCTTAAATCTTAATAATTACAAAATTATAATATTTTTTAATATGTTTTTAAAGTTTTTTTAATATCTTATCAATTAACAGGTGATTGATACATTATCTTGAATTGAGAGTAGTGTTAAAATTAATCAATATCATATTGTTTTAACTTTGTTATATAGTTTAGAAGATTAACTTTATTTTTTTAATTCTTGTCATATCTTTTTTATTATTATCTTTTTTATTAAATATATCTTTTACTATTTATAAATTAATTTTACAAAATTATTAATTATATCTATTAAGACTTATTTTTATAAATAGTAATAAATTAAATAAATTAAAAGAATATCTTATGAAATAATCATGTAGTTTTTTGTTAAGTTAGGTTTCAATTAAGTAATTAAAATCAATCTTTATTTTAATCTCTTCATTTAGCTTACTGTTCTCTGTTTGAATTATTAATTTAATGCAGTTTCATTTAACATTAAATCTCTATAAATGCTAATTAACATCAGTTTTTTTAAAGGAG